TACATATATCTTTATACATATATCTATATATATACACATTGTGTATAAATCTGATAATTTCCCTCAAGGAGGCGTCGGACAAATGCAGAACATGACGCCTCTGGCCACTTGGTGTCGCTGGTGTGGATGCGTGAGTTGGATCATATTAAAAATGTGATGTTTGTCGTGAACAGTTTAAAGTGAATTAGCGTCTTAAAGTAAAACGAATCGGAGTCAGGTGATTCGTTCATGTTTGTAGAACAGGTGTTGTTTTGTAACGACCTTTATTGTGAAAAGCAGGTGTTAAACATTTCATATGTTGATGTTGAGGAAACTGTTTCCTCCGTGAACTCGTGATCAACTCGTGGAACAGCTCTGACTCTGCTAATCTACTTCACCACGAGTGTGTGTGTGTGTGTGTGTGTGTGTGTGTGTGTGTGTGTGCGCTCACATGCTGCCTTGCTCCACGTTGGGTCCTCTGATGTAGAACGGGACCCTGATGTCAAACTCGTACGGCATAGATTTACCTGCAGACACAAACAGGAAGTGATGTAAGGTTTGCTTTTAACCAATCGCAGGATGTGTGTTCACATACAGCTCTGACAATAATGAGGATGAGGATTTAGTTTTTTCTGTTTCCTGTTCTGAGTCATTCTTCTTCTCGTTCGTCTACTTCTCCTTGTTTCTCACCTTTCACGAGGCCGAACTGTCCGATGTGGTAGCCGTGATCAGACGTGTAGATGATGTAGGTGTTTTCCAACTCGCCCGTCTCCACCAGCATGTTGTACAGCTGAGGACAGAACAAACAGAGACACTTCAACTTCTCATCCAAGTGAACGTTTCTACCAGACTGAGGCGAGTTCACATGAATGGGACGGATGGACGGACTCTTCTCACAGACCTGAGACGCAGCCTATATGTGTGTGAGTGGTCCAGGTATTACTCAAGTTGTGGGGACCTAAATCTGTCCACGCACTCATGGGGACAAAAAGAAAGTCCCCATAACATGAATCCTAAGGTGAAGACATGTTTTAAGGTTAAGTTAAGGGTTCGACAGTAGAAATCAATGAAGGTCAATGTAATGTCATTTGAAGTCATTAAGACAGCCCTGTGTGTGTGTGTGTGTGTGTGTGTGTGTGTGTGTGTGTGTGTGTGTGAGTGTGTGTGTGTGTCTCTACCTTTTCCACGCTGTCGTCCACAGACAGAAGCGTCTGCAGTCGTTTCCTCTGCAGCATGTTGGTGAACTCCATGTGGATGGGCCTCATGGGTCCAGTGTAACGCATGATCCAGTGCTTGTCTTGGTTCGGAGCGTAATTGTAACTGGGAGTTCTGGAGAGACACGAGGACAGAGACACGAGGACAGA